AAACTTAAAGTTAGAAATACACATTTTGATCAAACGTATAAGCACTAGAGCACAAGACCCAAGTGCGTAAAAATCTACATATATTTATTTATTAAATAATACATTTTTATTTATAGAAATGTCATGATCCGAAGTAAATACTTCTATAATGCTCCATGGCCGCTACAAATGTTTTCGGAAAATGACTGCTAACATTGATGTAAGGTTGTGATGATAAGAGTAGGTAACTACAAGGCGAAATCAATACTATCGGCGAAATGCGCTGGACACGCACGGACCAATGAAATCAGGTGTGTCTGCCGTCTAGTTGTTGTATGATGGAAAATCAGGATACGTTGGCTCGTTTTCTTCATCTACAGATTTGGGTGTCTGTTAAGGTTGGTGTTTGTTTTGTTTGTTTTTTGTTTTATTTATTTTTATTTAACATTGAAAGTGGAGGTCGAATTTCAACTTCATCAAGTTACAACTTACAAGAATAAAATGTTCTTAACAAAGGATAAGTAATCACTAAATGATAAGAGCACTTGATCCCAGAAGCTTAATAGTATTAGTTATTAAACAAGTGCACTTTTTTTTTTTTTTGATGAGTTTTGAACCCACCTCATATCAAAATGTTCAAAAAAAAAATCACTAAATAATAAAGACATTTGCATTAAAATTAGTTTGCATTAAAATTAGTTTTTATTTTATTTTAACATGGGGGATTTGTGGGGATGAAAGACTATTTTTAAAGTGCAGATAATGATTGAATTCTTGAATAATTAAATATAAATATTTAAGGTTCGAAGATGAATCAATAATTTTGAAAACTCAATTCAAGATTAGTCTTTGTTTAGGAGTTCCATAAAAAAGAAATTATAGTTTGGGGCCTAATTGAATGGTAACTTGTTCTCTTCGAAAATTGGACAATTAATTATCAAAGAAATTGAAAAATTAGGTCTCATATATTGTAGATATAGATACTACGAAGCGGTGGTAAGACTCGTCCCGTTTAATTAATGGTTGTTTTTATTTTAGGCTAAATTTATCATTAAATAAATATTATTGTATAAAATAAATTTTGATTTTTAATTTTGATTTAATATTTAAAAAAATTAATTTTTTTAAATATATTAAATTGATATAAGAATATATTTTTAAAATTATTGAAAATTTTTAATTTAAATTATGTAAAATTTGCACTTGGCCCGTGTGACCCAGTGGCTAGAGTTACTGAAAAGTGCACATCCCCCTCCCCTGGACGGGTTTCGAACCCGCCCCATGACAAAACCGTTCAAAAAAAAAAATTATGTAAAATTTAATTTGAGAACATTATAACAATAAATTCAAAAAAAAAAATTATTAACAATTTAACACAATTTAAATTACATAAAACATTTCTACTTTATATTTATAGATAATTATTTTATATCATGAAAAGGAGCTTCTTTGTCGGTGTATAAGAACAAATTTGTTTTTAAGCAAATTTTTTTCATAAATTTAAAAATTGATTAAAAAAGTTTAAATAACCGGTAAACAAGTTTTTGAAAAAGTTGTATCTAATATTAACGAAAAACTAACAACTAATTAAATAATTAATAAAAATTACGAGTTGTCCATTATACAGTGGGATACCTTTTTTTTGGTTTTTCGTCCGGTATCCGGGGTTTTGCCCCGACTAATCCGGATCGATCCGCGTCGCGCATCTGGAGATGGTGGGTGAGTCTCCCAATGAAAGCTGCTGCGTTCACAAGGTCCCGAACTCGAGACCTTATTTAAACCGAAACAAGCCGCTTATCACTTGATCCAATCTTTCTTCTTCGTTGGTGGGATACCTATTCTATGATGTGACAGATATTCTGTGTTCATAGGTGGATAACCTAATACTATTTTTTTTTTTTTCTGATAATTATAGAAACTAATGGTTAATTGCTTACCTGATTTTAGCTGTGTTCAAAAAATGGTTAATTAAGAATTGTGTAGGCAGTTTCATTATCTCTTATTATTGAGGTTACGAATTACTTTAACACCAAAAAAATTTAAAGATATTTTTTTTTGGATAAATATTTTGATATTTAAATCAATAATATTTTATAATTTATAATTTAAAGAAAAAAGTTTTCCAAAAAAGATATTACAAAAAGAGAAATGTAATAAATTTTTTGTTTTGTATGAGGATAATTAAGAGTATCTATAAATCTTATTTATGATAATATTACTACATATCGTTGTTATATTGGTACATTAATTTTTAATCATTGAAATGTGTAATAATTATTATATATATACTTTTGTGTTTCATACAACATTTTGATTTAATTATTGATGTTGGGTATATTCCGCGACACTAACCGACAGCTGGAGCTTCAAGGATGATTTTATTTTATTTTTTTAATTTTACAGATGTTTATTTAAATGGTTGCATCCCAAAAATTAGTAAAATTTTGGAAAGGAAATTATAAGGAAGGTATCTGTTCAACGGGAAGAAACTAAGTGAACATAGAGAGAAAATGATGGAGGAACTTCATGGATGAAGCCTGGCTCATGTGGACCAGATTATTAAAAAGATGGTTATAGGTGGGTTTTTAAAAGAAAAATATTAATCACATAATTTTATGTTATAATTATTAATTTATAATATTATATAATATTATAATTATATTATTTTAGACGAAAACTCTAATCATGTATTCAGTAACATTTTCAACAAAAGCTTTCTTGAAATAATATTTTTTAAACCTAACAGGGCTGTAAAGCTTGATTTATGAAATTTTTAGATATTACAAGGTTTGATTATATAATTTTTTTAGTATATTTGATAATTAGATATATAAGAGATAATAGTCTCTTTTTCTTTTTTTTTCTAAATTATTCTTTACCCAACCCAAAATCTAAATTTAAGATTTTCAACTTGAAATTTCAATTTCTTATTTCAGTAAAGTTATTGTATAAAAGGGAGCTTACTTATATAAATGATAATATTATAAATACAATATTTTTGTACAATAATTTATGAGTTTTTTATTTTGTAATTTGAATTGTAATAAATTATAAAATACACTCATTCAATAATAAGTGTTATGTAATTAATGTGTATGATTTTTGTAACTAGTGCCTTTATGTATAAATTAAGAATATATTAATTATATTTTTATTAATAATTATTTTTAAAAATAAAAATTAACTTTAATATTATCAATTACTTTATTAAAATTATACATGTATTAATAATATTAAAAATAAAGTCAGTTTTATTTTTATATAAATTAATGAAAAATTTTAATTAATGTGTCATTAACCTTTGCTTTTAAGCCATATTAAACAAAGAGTTTGTCTCATCTCTATTTTAACAGTATAAATTAAAAGTGTATTAAATATATATTTTTTATCATAAATTTATGTTAAAAAAATAAAAATTAATATTTAATTTATTAATTATTTAATTAAATTTACATACTTGATACTAATATTAAAATTAATATCAATTTTTATAATTTTTGATATACATTTATAATAAAAAAATACTCTTAATTTATATAAATCCTTTAAACCCTTGAACTGATATATATCCAATAATACAAGTTAGAAAAACCTTTAAACAAATCCTTAATGTATTCATTTACCATCAAGAGCCAACAACAATTGGCAAATTTGATGTTAAACCCTTGAACTGATTATATATTTTTAATTAAACTCTTAAATTTTTTTAAAAGCAGAGAAATCTCTAAAGTTTATAATTTCCTTAATTTTATTTTTTATATCTTTCTTTATTTAAAACTTTGCAACCCAACATTAAAAAAATAAAATAAAAATACACGAATTATAATAATCCAAGGCTTATCCACTTTCAAAGAAAGTCTAAAAAACGCATTGACCCTTGAGGCCTAGTGGCATAGTCATAGTGTATTCCCCTTCCCTGGCAGGGTTCAAAACCTACCCTTGCAAAATAAGTAAAAAAAAAAAAAAAAAGTCTAAAAAACACAATTAATAATATCAAATCAATTCTAAGAACCTGAGGTGAAGTTTTGCCAACAAAATTTGACCAGATCTTAAATAATTTAAAAACCTTGACAAGACTATGATGTTTCTTTGTGCCCTTGTAAAAGGGTTGAACACACGAGGTGGCAGTAGAACAACTGATGCTCCAATGTCCAAAGGAGGACTGCTAAATGCAGTCGCCTTTTTCTGCACTCTTTTTTATTTTTTTTTCAGTGGTGGCAAAATGAAAAGTTATTTCCACTCATTTTTTATTTTATCTTATTTATATATCATATGATTTAAATTTAATTAATAATTTATTGATTCGACAGAAGAGAATTTGATTCTTTTAAAATAAGATTTTGAATTTGAATCTTGTGAATAAAGAAACAAATATGCGACTTAATTCTAAATTAATCAGATTTAATGTGATTATTAAATATCGAGAAATTAATAAAAAAAATTTAAATTTAAAATTTTTTATTTTTAATAAAAAATTATTATTAAGTTATTTAAATTATTGACTTTTTTTACTCTCTTTTAACTCTCTATGGCAAAATATACAAATTTATCCTCAAAATATAGTGGTAGAGACGGACTCATTCTTAAATAAAAAATGAAGACAAATCCACTCATAAAATTTTTGACATGAATAAATCATCTCAAATTTAATGTGTGATATCATCAAATATCAATAATCTATTAATTTATTAATAAATTACTAATATTAAATGATATCAAATTAATAAATTATTGATATTAAATAACATTACACATTAAATTTAAGATAATTCACATAAATTAAAAATTTTATCATTGAATTTATTTTTATTTTTTATTTGAGATGAATCTGTCTTATCACTATACTTCAATGATAGATTTAAGTATTCTATATACCTAAATCTCATGATTCAACGATCATAAACTAATTTATAAGATATATCCTCCAACTCAAGGGTTGAGGTTGGATTCTTCTGGCAAAAGGTACATGTTTGCCCCTTAACTTTTTGACTTTTAGGGTTTTTACCCTCCATGTTACAATACATGGATTTTTACCCTTAACGTTTTCAAGTTGAGGAAATGAGGCAAAATTTAACGCCGGAATGTCACGTGTAGCACATGCACCTTTGGCCTCCGTCAAGTATGCGCATGTCAGCGCCAACTCAGAATTTTTTGACAACCTGGCATGCCAACTTGGAACCCCACGAGCGGGAAGTCTACTTGCTGCCAATTTTTTTGTGGGTCCCACCGCTGACTAAAGGTTTAAAAAAAAAAAGTTAAATCCTCGATTCAGTCCTTTAACTTTCATTTTTAAACTAAATTTACTTCGAACTTCAAAATATTGTGACTTGGCACCAAAAATATAATTTAATAAATAAAAATTTCTTTTTTTTCTTTTTTCTTTCCTTTCCTTTTTTTTTCTCCTTCTCTTTCCTTTTCTCCTTCCCCTCCCTGCTGGGTTCGAAGGAACCCAAGCGAACCCGCGCCTGCTGGGTTCGAGGAACCCAGGTGAACCCGTGCCTGCTGGGTTCGAGGAACCCAAGCCTGGGTTCCTTTGAACCCAACACGCCTGGGTTCAAACGAACCCGCGCGCTGGTGCTGGGTTCCTTTGAACCCAGTAGGGAGGGGAAGGAGAAAAGGAAAGAAAAGGAGAAAAAAAAGAAATTTTTATTTATTAAATTATATTTTTGGTGCCAAGTCACAATATTTTGAAGTTCTAGGAAAATTGAAAGTTAAAGGACTGAATCTAGGATTTAACCTTTTTTTTTACAAATCTTTAGTTAGCGGTGGGGCCCACAAAAAAATTGGCAGCAAATAGACTTTCCGCTCGTGGGGTTCCAAGTTGGCATGCCAGGTTGTCAAAAATTCTGAGTTGGCGCTGACATGCGCATACTTGACGGAGGTCAACGGTGCACATGCTACACGTGACGTTCCGACGTTAAATTTTGCCTCATTTCCTCAACTTGAAAACGTTAAGGGTAAAAATCCATGTATTGTAATATGGAGGGTAAAAACTCTAAAAGTCAAAAAGTTAAGGGGTAAACGGTACCTTTTCCGGATTCTTCCACCCGAAAATTGTAATCTTGCTTAAAAAAAAAAAAAAAAAAGATTTGGGTATTCTGCCTCCCTGTATCATGTACAATAGTCACGTGAATTTTTCTAGCTGAGAACTCTCAATTGCGAGCTAAAGTTTATTACGGGGCATTTTATACGAGAGAGTGTTGGGGAGTGCAGGAAAAAGGCGACTGCACGTAGCAGTACTCATGTCCAAAGTCGTGACAAAAAAAGAAAAAAAGTCGAGACCTAATGAAAAGACATTTTAAGGGAGCTTTTGGTAGGGAACCTGTCTCTCTAAATTTTTTATAAAATTATATATGTATTTTATATATTAATATTATAATAAAAAATATAAAAATAA